AGATATACCTTTATTGATCCCCCGTAGGAGAAACATTGAGGAATATAGAGCAATAAAAAGAAAATAACATTATTGTAACTGTGTTTAATGATTCTCATAAAACTGAAGACTGGAGGCCATAAAGGTAAAATAACTTTATTTATCCCGACTATAAAGAGTGTATAATATATCAGGTTAATAATAATAAAAACGAGCAGGCAGAGGTCATGTACGGTATACGTCCTGTTTAGACCTCTGCCTGCTGCTTTATGAGCTGATGTTGATGTTTAAGAACAAAGAGATCTTTGTGTCTGAATCCTCTCAGTGTGTCGTCTGTCACCTCTTCATGGACACTGTCTCACTCTCTGTGCCCTGAGGGGGGGCAGTCTATACTACCCCCACGTCCCCCACCCAGCCAGTCTCTTTGTCTTATAAAGTCTTAGACGCCCCTGAGCGTCACTGTCAGAGGAACCATCACCCTGCCCAACCTCCCTCCACCTTCATCAACACAGCAGCATAAATATGTACACATTAATGTATATTTATTAATGTGTATATATGTATATATTAATATACATTAATATACATTAATATCCATTAATATATATTAATATTTATTCATATATACACATTAATGTATATTTATTAATGTGTATATATGTATATATTAATATATACACATTAATGTATATTTATTAATGTGTATATATGTATATATTAATATACATTAATATATATTAATATATACATATATTAATGTATATTTATTAATGTGTATATATGTATATATTAATATACATTAATATATATTAATATATACATATATTAATGTATATTTATGTATGTACATAAATGTTCCTATAAACAACTAGTTTTATGTAAATATTGTGATTATTACCAGCCACAAGGAGGCAGTAAAGTATATTCTCACTACTTTCATTTTCTTCAGGCCACACACAGAAAAACATAATTCAATTCATGGGATAACACAATTTCATCTTCACATAGAAACAGAGTCCATACAGTCGGACTGCGTTTGAGCACCAGACAGAAACAGAGTCGCCTCCTCTGGTCGGCTCTGAACTCGATCCCTGTCGAGGATCCAGGATGTTGATGGATCAGGTCTCTGTAGACAGTCTCTGATCCTGTTGTTTGACATTATCCAGGAGCAGTATATCCGACTCTCTTCCTCTCCTCTTGGGGCTGATCTGTCTGAGCGGTGGATCGTCCTCAAGGTCGGTTGCTCTTTAATCCACACTGCATGCTTCCTTTTCCAGTGCTGCAGCCTGTTTCTCCCAGAGCTAATAAAGCTGGTGGAGGTGTGAAGCTGTTAGCATCTGAAAACGCAGCCGAGTCAAAACCTCCTGAATCCAGTCGATTCGAACAACTTTGGCTCAGCCCTGAAAAATCAAACCCAATCAGACGTCGTTCAGTGATGTTTCAACAGATTAAAACTGTAGGAGGTTGTTGTGGGTAAACTGCTGCAGATGATTCATTCAGTCTCTTCAGGAAGTTGCAACGCTGGTTCAACCAATCAGGAATCAGGAACCTGAGGCTGCAACCAGGGTCTGAACTACAGGAGAACTCGGCTCCTCTTAATACTCACACACATCGAAGGCGACTCATTCCAGTGAGAATAAAATCCACAGTTAAAACGGCAGATGTTCAAAAGAAACAAGAGAGTGAGTTTGGTGCCGTTTGACTCAGCGTTCAGATATTATATTATATACTATATATATATGTATATTATATATAATATATATTATATATATACTATAGTATATATATAATAAAGCTATATTTGTATCTCTGCAGGTTTTTCAGTACTTCTGAGGACTTCTTTCTCTTTATTTACCGTCAGAGAGCTGCAGCCTGTGACCTCAAACGTCACACGTCCAGTGTCAGACTGACGGATGTCTGAGGACCTTCCTCCCTCCTCATCCTCCCTCATCCTCCTCATGCTCCCTCCTCCCTCCCCTCCCTCCCCTCTTTATCTCCCCCTCTCTCCGCACAGAAAGGAGAATCATAGATTACAGAGCGAGCTGCCAGCGCCTCGGGCAAGTTTAGGAGATATTTAAATCTTTAAATGTGTAACATAGTTCCCCCGTTCGCCATCTAATTGAAGTAACTGCAGGGTTTCTTTAATTAGGGAGACGCAGAGAGTCGAGTCTTTCTGCTGGTTTGTTCAGTAAAGGAGGCGCATGTGCTGCCGGAGGCCAGTGTTAATGCACTGTGTGTGTGTGTGTGTGTGTGTGTGTGTGTGGACAAATGAAGACATGTAACTGGTTCAGTGTGTCTCTTTAAAGGAAGTCACCGACCTCAATTACACACACATTAGTTTCCCATCAGCCCCTGTTTTATTACAGCCCGTCACAGGGAAACCCCTCATACAGTACAGCAGGAGGTCAGACACCATGTGACTCACAGCGACTCTCTTTAGAAACATTTACAATGAATTTATTATATTATACATCTATATTTATTATTCTGCAGATTGAACCAATTCTGCCTTTTACTGAAGTTATTGGACAAAAACACCAAACCATCCACATCACCAAGAAAACAGTGAAACTGTTAATATCCTGTTTTTATTTGCTTCAGTCACTGAACTCAACCTGTGTCTATATGGAACATGGACAGTATATATAATGACTATATATATATAATAACAGTGTATATAATGACAATATATTCAATTCAATCCAATTCAGTTTTATTTGTATAGCGCCAATTCATAACATAAGTTATCTCAGGACACTTTTCAAATAGAGCAGGTCTAGACCGAACTCTTTATAACATTATTTACAGAGACCCAACAGTACCACCATGAGCAAGACCTTGGAGACAAGGGCAAGGAAAAACTGCCTGTTAAAAGGCAGAAACCTAGGACAGATCCTCCGGCTCTAGGTGGGTGGTCGTCTGTCTCGACCAGTTGGGGTGAGAGAGAGAGAGAGAGAGAGAGAGAGAGAGAGAGAGAGAGAGAGAGAGAGAGAGAGAGAGAGAGACAGAGAGAGAGAGAGAGAGACACAGACAGACAGACAGACAGACAGACAGGTGCACAGCAACAAGAGTAATAACAACTACTCTAATAGTAGTGACTGATGATGATGAACATGACAACAGCAACAATGGGGGACAATGAGCAGTGACAACAGCAACAAGAGTAACCGTAGCAATAATAATACTTATAATAATAATAATAATAATATCAGTGATATTGGCATTGTAGTCAAGCAGGACCATGGCAGGAGGCTCCACCAGGATCATGAGAACCTGCGAGACAAGAAAGCACAAGAACTCCGGGGAAGAAGTGAAGTTAGTAACATGCATTAATGGGACATGAATGAGTGCAGAAAGAGAGAGGAAGAGAGGAGCTCAGTGCATCATGGGAATCCCCCGATAGTCTAGGCCTATAGCAGCATAACTAAGGGATGGTTCAGGACTCACCTGATCCAGCCCTAACTATAAGCTTTATCAAAGAGGAATGTCTTAAGCCTACTCTTGAATGTGGTGAGGGTGTCTGCCTCCCGAACCACAACTGGAAGCTGGTTCCACAGGAGAGGAGCTTGGTAACTGACAATAACAGGTAACAATATATATAATGACTGTTTATGTGTCATTTGATGGTTTAAAGTGTGTTAAAGCTGCATTCTCTCTAACAGCCAGCAGGGGGCAGCTCCACTCTGATAGTATTGAGTCTTATGGAGAAGTTGATTAATGAGCTCAGTAAACAGTTTCCTGATGAGTTTCTGGTCTCAGTCTCTAGTTTCAGTCTTCTTCCATACAGCATGATGTTCATTTAGTAACTGATGGTCCCATTTAGAGTAAAACAGACCATAAAGCAGGGTATGCTTTAGGGCGGGGCTACCTTGTGATTGACAGCTCATTCTCAGTGAGTCCGTCCAGCTCAACCAAACTCAGATCAAACTGTCAAACAGTGCTGATCAGATATGGATCCAGATTCTGTTGTTGACTGTTTCTCAAATCTGTTCACAAACACATTTTACTGTTTATCTGGAATACCAGATCCTGTGTGAGCAGACGAGCAGCCAATGAGAGCAGCTCAACCAGCTTTACGTGACCTCTGCTGGCTGCTAAACACCAACATGGAGACGACCATAAAGCCTAACTGGAGGTTCAGAGCTCTACAGACCGATGGGGGACAACAGAGTCTCTGTAAAACCAGCAGATCTTTCAGAGTTCAGGAACTTTTCAGATTCACATTATTAATATAAAATATAATCAATAATAAATGATAATGTCTTATTGCCGATTATGTTTGTGCAACTGATGTTCTGCATGAATTATTGATCAGTTTATTGTTAATATGAACACATCCAATAATATCAGTTTTATTTTATGCTTTTATATTTTTACTCTGAATACAGACTTTAACTTGTAATAGAGTATTTTTACTCCTGAACTCCTTCTGGCATCGTCTACCCTTTAACACAGTGAGTGAGTCCTGGGAAGTCCTGGGGGGTTCTGGGGAGTCCTGGCCCACTTCAGGCACCAGTTTTACTTTAGTAAAAGATCTGAACGCTTTAAGCAAACATTGACTTAAATGCTGCAAAAGAACTTTTATATTTGATTAGAACTTTATCACCTGTGGAACCGATCGGTGCTGTGGTCTCTCTGATGGTCTCTGATGGTCTCTGATGGTCTTTGGTGGTCTCTCTGATGGTCTCTGATGGTCTCTCTGATGGTCCCTGATGGTCTTTGGTGGTCTTTGGTGGTCTTCGATGCTGCTAATGTGAGACATTATAATCGGAAACCTTTTATAATCTCATTATAATGTCTCTCAGGATACAGTTTCACATTGGCAGGAATGGGCTTCCAGAGTTTGCCCCCTCTCTCGCCCATGAACATCTGCCCCTGGTGGCAGACAGAACAGCTGTGACCTCTGACCTCAAGCAGCTCTAAAGAGCAGTCTCTTTAATAAACGCATTCTGAGACAGACTGTATTTATTATATTGATTAAAGAGTATGGGGGGTTCAGGGGCCAGAGGAAAGGCGGACTCTCTCCTGCGTAAAGTTCCGCACTGAGACACAAAATGGTTCCTGAGCGCGGACACACTGAGGCTTCAGGCCGACAGCTGAGGAGCATAAACCGGCTCAGTGTGCGCAGCCTCCCGGCGCACATCTCCATCTACCAGCGCGCAATAATTGAAATGGCGCGTTTGTCCTCAGGCTGCTGGGGGGGGCATAATGCATGACGATAGACGTCATTTGGCTCCAGAGCCAGAGGGATGGTTGCTCAAATATATCAGCTGTCGGGAGGAAGACGTGGATCAGCGCGGACAGGACCAGCTCCACACTGAGACCCTGGACCTGATATTAAAGCGCAGGATCCGGTTCACACAGACCAGTTAGGACGCGTTATTGTAACCTAATCCTGGCCCCTGGGGGTCTGAAGGGCCCCAGGCAAGCTTCTCTTTCAGCCCTCCTCTCTTATTCTTTCGGAGGATCTTTGTGCTCCACACACGCACCGGAGGACGGAGAGGAAGCCCGACCAGGACGTCAGTGAAGACCAACGGGTATCCTCACATTTCCAACCCCGGACGGAGCAGACAGCCGCCGGTCTCCATGTCGTCTGTGTCGGTGTCCTCTCAGGTAAGGACGCGCTGCTTTAACCGAACAGCCTCATGGGAGATTTAGACGCAGAGTTTTTAAGTTTATAATGTAAAATCCAGAAATTGTGATTAAATGTCTCTGAGTTTCGACCAGCCCCGATACGCGCTGCTCCTGAAGTCTGACCAAATTCCGTTTAAAATCTGTCCATTTTAAGTTCTGGTGAGTTTGGGCAGTCGCAGGTATCACCGGTACAACAGCGGCGTATCTGTCCAGTAACCGGGTCACTCACTTATAAATTCGGCTGGAACCAAATGATCCAAATCAGAGAGAATTTCTACAAAACGTAAACTTTACCTGTTAGCCCGCCGGTTCTTGCTGCCATCTTGTACCGTCCGATGCGCCGTGAAGGGCGGCGGTAACTCTGTGCTAAAAGTAAAGATGATCGAAACTAAGTTCCAGTTTATGGACAATTCACGGGCCGAATTTACCAGAAGGCTTCACACTAAAGAGAAAACCTCTTCCATCAGGATCAGGCGACACTCAATCTCAGCCAAAGAGTGAATGCGCATTAAATGTTCAGATTTTTTAATGGAGTCTGGCGCGTGGCGTTGTTTCCACATTAGCGAGGGCTGCTCCATACACCCACAATATGAGAGCCTTCATGCACGTCTGTTCATGTGATTGAATTTATAGGTCAGAGTTTGATTTGGAATAAAAAAAGCTTTTAATGAGATTTCCAACAGTTTCTTCCTGAAACTCTGAGAGAAGAAGTGATGTGACTTTGGTTTAAAGCCTGTAGTGGATCAGTAGTGTGACTATAATGTGTGGCTTTATAGAGCAGCAGTCAGCAGAGACCTGCAGACAGCAGTGGAGGAGTTACTGCAGACAGAGAGGCAGCAGTGTTTTTCAGTTTGGCTCAGGGCAGAGTGCCGGCCTCGGGGCAGAGACACTGAAAGCTGCAGCCCGCCTCCTGTTCACCTTTCATGCTTCAAAGCTCTTCTTTACAACCGAGAGAGGGAGGGTCAATTAATCCCAGCAGCCCCCCCGGGTCATCACCATGCTCTGTTTCATCAGTGAGCCCCCCCCCCCACATACTGCATCCATCAGGTCTTTAGAGTGCTCTATAAGTAATGATTATTATTATTACGCAACAATGTGAAAATACTCCTAAATGTCCTGCATTCAGTTCTACTGCAGTAACCAGCAGCACCATGAAGTCCCAGGAACTGTAAACCTCCCCCCAATGGTCGGCAGCCATACTGGATGGTAGTGGACTGTAGTGGACTGTCTCCGGGCTTCTTGCATAGTGCAACAAGGTCACCTGAGACAGCGGTTCCTCTGAAGCGGGAGCTCGCTTCCCGTCCCGTCCAGGAGAATCGCTGAAAACCCTGAATGTGGGTCCAAAGAGGAGCCACCAAACTCATCCTCACATGTTCCACCTGAACCCTTGAGAACAGAAGCTGGACGGGAGTGAAAGGAGGGCGGCGTAGATCAGACCCTGCAGCCCGCCCCGGGGGCAGATTATTGGTTTCAGGGAGTCGACGTTGTGCCATACACGAGGACTGGCGTCAGATAATGTAATTCACTGAGACTGGGTTGCAGCTGGCTAGCTAACATTAGCTTGTTTGCGAGCTAGTTAGTAGCACGGAGCTAATGGTCCAAATAAAATATAGGAACATTGCAGATAGTAACATTATTCTAAATATGATTGTCAGTTATTTTATAATATTAATGGTATAAGGAGTTCGGTCTAGACCTGCTCCTGAGATAACTTCTGTTTGTCGTTTGAATTGGTGCTATACAAATAAAACTGAATTTAATTGAATTTTACAGCATTCAGTGTTTGTCACTGTTGGCCGACGCCCAGGATGATGCTGTGACTATGACTGTACTATATAAAGAGGCCGGTTTCTAAGGCCTCCAGAGCCAGTACAGTGGTTTCTCTCCTGGAGTCCAGAAACCAGGATCCATGTTGGTTTTGTTTTTTAGGAGAGTTCCAGCAGCATTGCTCTTCTGAGAGCGTATAGATACTGGACCTTCATACAGCTGCTGAAGGTCCAGGAGAACCAGTGAGGACCTGAATGTTTTGGATACAGTGCCCCTGCTTGAAGGGTATCTGGAAGCATCCTTCAGATCGACGGTTGCGAACCCTTCCTCACCCTGTCAACCGAACATCAATATACCTCCATGATCATTCCCCATACATGCGGAATAATAACTAAATAATAAGAGATAGCACCAGGACCAGGACCAGGTCTTGATCAGTTGATAGTGAGAACCCTCTGCTGAATCTGACTCAATGAAACAGAGTCGATGAAGGCCAATTAGGGCGCTGACAGCAGAGTGGATCAGATCAGCCTGCAGACCAACTTCAAACAGGGAGAGTTCAGACCACCAGCTCTGCACAGAACAGCAGGGGCTCCTGGGATATGAAGTTAAAACAGAGACTGCAGCAGAGCCCAGAGGGCACTCAGTTCAGGTTCAACTCGGGAGACGTTTGAATGATCAACTTTTATCTGATTGGTTCTGAGATATTCATACAACTCTGTTTTGAACTGTGAGATTTCTGTACGCTGTTATTCTCTTCCCTCCATCACAAATACTACCTCTAACGTAAGACGGCCCTCTGTATTACATTTAACTCAATAATGGATTAAATTAATGATCTTTATATTAATGGAACCCTTCCCGATTTTGAATTACTGCTCCATAAAATAAATCGGCCTCAAACTCAAGTCTTTAGATTTCTATTAATTCACAACTATATTAGATCCAATCTTTCCGACTAACACCATACGCATACATTTGATAATCTGGGACAGCAGTTGGAACCTAACTGTGTTGGCTGTGTTTGGGGTACTGGGAAAGACCAGCCCTCTAATAGTACCTCTTTTCCACCAAAGCAGTTTATAGGCTGGTTTAGAGCCGGGACCAACCAGTTCTTCATCCAAAGAACCGGAACAGGAAAACTGGTTCCTGGGCGGCACCGAAACTTTGCTGGTCAAGTCGAGATGTTCCGATACCAGTTTTTCCTCCCCGATACCTGAACTTCTCGTCCAGTGCCGAGTACCAATCCAGTACTCCAATACGTGTTAAAAAACCAGATAGGTACGATTGAGATCTTTCTATAAACCCTTAATCAACTGCGTGGAGGCTCAGCAATAAATATCCTCTTTACTACAACAGCTAGAATATTCTGTAGCTGTATAGCAGCTTTGTTGGTTGGTTAATGTTTCTACTGTTTACCATCCTGTGTTATATAATCCTTATAAAGCTCCTGTCAGAGTTCTGACCTGTTGTTACCTGTCGTCACAGGAGGGGCGGAGCATGTCCAGGATGTCTCTGAGCCGCTCACCTGTGTCCCCGATGACCACCCAGGGCATCCCATCTCCCGCCCAGCTCACCAAGGCCAACGCCCCCGTACACATCGACGTGGGAGGGCACATGTACACCAGCAGCCTGGCAACGCTCACCAAATACCCCGAGTCCAGGTAAGACCACCGGCACGACCTGCAGTTTCTCTGAGTAGTGGAGTAGAAATATTAGGTACTAGAGTATAAGTATAAAGTGACCTCAGATCTGTGTTCAATGTAAGAATAAAGAGAGTCAGAGAGGAGGTGATGAGGAGGCCGGCAGCGACGCACTGTTGGAGGAGGTTGAGTCCGTTTCTTGTGAGTTTGACCAATCATAGCAGTCTCCGATATTTCATTTAGAAAATCTGCAGTAAGACACAACAATCCCAAAAAAAGGAAATTCTGGAGGCACTGATAAGTAATTTTCTTCAGTTACAGTTTATAGTAGAAACTGAAGCCCACATGTTTTCAGTAGTGTTTAATCAGCTGATAATAAGAATCATTGTGTTTTCTTTGCCTTAGAATGAGACTTTTATCTACAGAGAGAGAGGGTCCTCTTCTGGTGGAGTTCGCCATGTTGAACCATGTTTCTACAGTAGCCCAGAACGGACAAACCAAACACTGTAGTTTCTACAGTTTCCTACACAACGCTCCTTTAATGTTTCCTTAGCGGAAAATCAATATTGTCTCTTTTTTAAAGGATAATTCTGGACTTAATCTATATTTTTCTTATAATCATAAAATGTCATCTTCAGCAAAATCTGTGGCACACTGAGCTTATAGGGGATGTCACTGAGCTACAGACTGTTTATTACAGTGTGTGACACTGACCAGTGTTTCCACGGTAACAGTCAGTGACACTGCTGACAGTGAACAGCAGAGTCTCATCAGCATATTGGAGAATAAACTCTGTGTTCCTTTATAACGTTGCTGAGTGGGACCATGTATGAACAAATAAAAAGCAAAGGTCCCCCTGAGTAAATCCAAGATGGCAACAGTCACAGACCTATGGGGGACGCCATGGAGACATAGACCGTTCATTTTAGAGTTTGTGGTTCAGACCAACAAGATGTGTCTATACTGTCAGACTTTACTTATATCATATATTAATCAGACCTTATCATTATCGGCCCCAAATCCCTCACCAAAACCACAGACAGTTTCCACCTCAACATTGACAGCTCCACCCTGTCTCCATCCCCCCACAGTCGCAACCTTGGAGTCATCTTTGACAATAACCTCTCCTTTGAACATCACATAAACCAAATCACCAGAACTGCCTTCTTCCATCTCAAGAACATTGCCCGTCTTCACCCATCACTCTCCTTCTCTGCTGCTGAAACCCTCATCCACGCCTTCATCACCTCCAGAATCGACTACTGCAACAGCATCCACTATGGCACACCATCCAAAACTCTAAATAAGCTACAGTACATCCAAAACTCCGCTGCACGTATGCTCACCCACACCCACACCCGTGATCACATCACTCCCGTCCTCCAGAACCTCCACTGGCTTCCAGTTCCACAGCGCATTCAGTTCAAAATCCTCCTCCTTACACACAAAGCCCTCCATAACCAGGCTCCTTCCTACCTCACTGACCTGCTCCATCGCCATAATCCATCCAGCAGCCTCCGCTCATCTGAAGCAAACCTTCTGACTCCTCCACCCCGGACCAAGCACCGAACCTGGGGCGACAGAGCCTTCTCTGTAGCTGCCCCCTCCCTCTGGAACTCTCTCCCCAAACACATCCGTGACTGTACCGACCTTCCAACATTCAAATCACAGACAAAAACTCACCTTTTTAAAATTGCTTTTAATGTTTAGCTTAGTCTGATGTGTTTTTAATGTTTTACTATTTGATGTTGTTTGGCTGTTTTTATGTAAAGTGTCTTTGAGTATTTAGAAAAGCGCTTATAAATAAAATGTATTATTATTGTTATTATTATTATATATAGTTTCATGTTTAAAAATGTTCAGTAATTTACTAAAACTTGTTGGGGACTATTTTCAGTCCCCAACAATCCACATTTGGTGCTGTAGTGAGTGTTTGGGTGTATAAATAAACTGTATTCCTGTTGTCTTTCTCACTGTTGGCGGTCTGTGTCTCTGCAGGATCAGTCGTCTGTTTAACGGCACCGAGCCCATCGTGTTGGACAGTCTTAAGCAGCACTACTTTATCGACAGAGACGGAGACATCTTCCGCTACATCCTCAGCTTCCTGCGGACCTGCAAGCTGCTTCTGCCGGAAGACTTCAAGGTAGCTGAGAAACCAAAGATTAACACACTGACCTGCACAAAACAACCAGCGGGAGGCAGAGGTCTTAAACTCCTACAAGGAACTTTCAGTCTGTGTTTTAATTCTGGCGACCCCTGTGGACAACAGCAGTAGTGTTTCTATCACCTCACTAAAATCAAGGGGAATCCGACACAGTGGCAGACATTAATAACTATATAGAAATATTCAATCTTCCCTTTATATAAAATAATAATAATGTCATCAGTGAGGATATAAAAACATAAATAATAAAAAATATACATCAGTTAAAACAAATAGATTTAAAGTTTTCATATGTCAGTAGGATGTGACGTTTATGCTCCCGAGTGCCTTCTCTCTCCGCTTCCCTACAGTGTCAACAGTGTGCAACACTAGCTAACATTAGCTAACGTGTTTGTCACTGTTGGTCGACGCCCAGGATAATGCAACAGGACGCTGACTGCAGTTCACTGAACGGCCACTGGTGGCGCTGTTAGCTACAGTTTAATGTTACATAGAGAAGCTTTAAAAAAACAACAGATATAAGTTTGATATTAAATATTGAGCTTGTTTCTCTGACGATGAGCTCAGATATGTAAAGATTGAACCTCGAGGTGAAACAAATGATTTCGTCTCTTCGTTAAGAAATTGCAGCGAGTTTTTGAACTCTCAGATTCTGACACTTTAATCAGTGCTGGCGGCTGCATCTACTGACGAGTGTGTGTTTTACTAAATTTGTGTGTGTGTGTGTGTGTGTGGTGGGGGGGGGGGGAGAGTCAGCGGGCATATTGCATTTCTCTCATCTCCCTCCCTGTAGTTAGCGAGCGCTGCCTCTGTTTTTCTGCTCAGGATGACTAAAACGCCCCGCAGACACAACCCCTCTTTATAAAACACATCTATCCCTCGCTCGCAGCCTGAGATGGGGGTGAGGAGGAGGAGGATGGAGAAGGGGGGAGTGAAGGAGGCGAGGCTTTGATACAGTGTGAAGCCTCAGGCTAACAGCAGCTCTCTGTCAGCAGCAGTGTGGAGTAAAAAAAACCCACAATCCTTTTCTTTCTGTGTGACCGGCGGAGGAAGAAGCACTCAGATCCTCCAGAAAGAGACGGAATAATAAGTCCTGCAACTCAGTTTATATCAGCAACAGTAAAGAAAGACTGATAGAGAGAAGAAGAGGTCAGTTCAGTTGTTTTTATGCTTTCAGATCATATAAAGAGGAAAAGAAAAAGACAGAATCTCCTCATTTAAAGAGTCAGTCATTAGTTGTGGGGTTCCTCAGGGTTCTGTTCTCGATCCTTTATAGTTTTAGTTAAAGCTGCTTTAAATCTAACGGTTTCAATTTATTGTGGTGGCCTTGTTAGCTTACTTCCACATCCAGCAGTTACAGAGCAACTACATCATTTATTTGGTTTTTCTTGCCGTCTGATGAGTCTTTTAAGACGCTGAAATAACAACATCATGATGGAGATTTATGAAAAGTCTGAATTCAGACTGTCAGTCTGCGAAACGACATGCAACAAACAACTTTTAAAACGCTTGTTTTCTAAATGGTTTGGTTGATCATCATCCGGCTGCACATTCGTCTTTATTTGTGTCTTTGCATTGACTTTGTACGTAATCTATATGTGAATAATGTTATTCATGGTATGTTGTGGTTCCAGTACGAGCACCTGTTACGGTCCGATAGGCGAACAATACAAGCCAACGTGAGACTGAATATTTTACTGCTTTCATATTTATTTATTTGTTTGTTTCACACCAACAGAAGTTCTTACTTTGCAATAAAGTAGTGGATAAAAACCTCAGTTAGTTCTGAGACAAAGCTCAGCAGAAAGCCAGTAAATGGACCTTGAGTTCGGATAAACTTTCACGTTTTTACAGAATTTCATCAAACTGCGCTTTCGTTCTCGATCTGAAACCATAAAAACAGCTGAACAGATCTTCTCTTCTTTACTTCCAACCACATAAGTTTTGCTTGTGTTCGCCATGGTTACAGTCTCTAACCCCGCCCTCTCTCTGGTGCCGTCAGGACTTCCCCCAGCTGTACGAGGAGGCTCGGTACTACCAGCTGACCCCAATGGTCCGGGAGCTGGATCGCTGGCAGGCGGAGCAGGAGTCCCAGCGGGCGCCACCATGCGAGTGTCTGGTGGTTCGGGTCACCCCAGACCTGGGCGAGAGGATTGCGCTGAGTGGAGAGAAAGTCCTGATCGAAGAGATCTTCCCTGAGACCGGAGACGTCATGTGTAACTCCGTCAACGCCGGCTGGAACCAGGACCCGACCCACGTGATCCGCTTCCCCCTCAACGGGTACTGCAGGCTCAACTCTGTGCAGGTGAGACCTGTTCACTCAGCGACTGAACTTATTGATCCATTGATTTGACTTCCCAATCGTCTCACAGACCAACCTCAGGATTTATTGATAACGTATCAGTGATTTTCGTTGGTCCTGCACATTAAACACCTGTCTGTCTGTCTGTCTGTCTGTCTGCAGGTCCTGGAGCGTCTGTTTCAGAAGGGTTTCACCGTTAAGGCGTCCTGCGGCGGTGGAGTCGACTCGTCCCAGTTCAGCGAGTACGTCCTGTGTCGCGACCTCCGGCACAGCCAGTCCATCACCAGTACCCCGATCCGGATCAAACAGGAACCTCTTGACTGAACAGCACCATCAGAAAACCACCTGAAGACTTGAAACCTTTACAGGAAATATCTCTTTAAGAGACCTTTGACCTCTGCAGACGTAAACCTTCTGTGGGAAGAACCAGAACTGTAAATAATATTTGTAATAAGAATCAGTTTGATATGAACAGCTTGATCAATATCGTCCTTTGTGTGTACAAATAAATAGAAAGGTCTTTTTATAAGTGTGTACGGAAGCCACAGGGCGCATAATTTAATTCTTTTTATAAAACTGACATTTTGAAAAAATGTATATTTAATGTATTTGTTAGCTTACTTTGTGTCTATTTTTCATTTGTACAGATGTATTGATAAAAAGTGAAAAAGGTCTCTGATGTCTCATTTTTAAATATTCTTTATGTAACTTTAATTAAACCGTTTACAAATCAGCCCATGAGACAACACCAGCTTAGTTTAGTTACAGTAAGCTAGCTGGATGCCCCTGCCTCGCATCGCTCTTGGCTAGTAGAATAAGGTGACCAGATTTCCGAAATGAAAATCGGGGACATTTTTTCGCGCGGTGGTCAAAATCGTTAGTCGTTATCGTTATGAAATGAATAACAGGGGCAATTACATGTTAATGTATTTTGACAAAGCAAATGAGTAGCCAATAAGAAGTTACCCTTAACCCTTCCAAACTGTTAACCAATATGAAGAACTTGGATTCTGATTTGACTCCGATTCTTCTTATTATTATTATTATTTAGTTGTTTTTTTTTTTCAGCTATGGCAATCAACTCATGGGAGCTTGTCAACATGTGCACACTTCCACTCGTGACTTCAGCCATATTTCACAGCAAAGCATTACATGAGAGGATTTACACTTATGCTGTGCACTCCTTGTGATAGAAAGTCAGAACAAACTCTGAGTGCAACCTGCAACGCGTGCTTCCCCCTGTAAGGACGGTGCCCCTAAAATAAAATAAAAAAGGAGGCGCTGTCCAGCTGGCTCCCCCGTCACTCACCTGCAGCTGCACAGACGAGGCGTGGATGTGCCGCAGCACAGCGGGAGCAGCGTGTGTTTTATAAAAAAAAAAGCAAACAAAAAGAGACCAGCCGGTCGACACAAGCCATTTACCGCGCACGTAACGTCAGCATGTTAGTTAAACTGGTTTAACCATAATAACTGGAGTGTGCATCCATACGCAACTTTTTTTCTCAGCCATTCAAATCGGGGACATTTTCGGGGACAGGTCGGCCAAATCGGGGACTGTCCCCGAAAATCTGGGACGTCTGGTCACCCTAAAAGCTATTGTTAGCTTTGTACTGTTATCATCATTTATTGTTGGCTGACATCAAAACCTGTCAGAATAAATAAGTTAATATCATGGATAATGTAAGCTGGGGAAGCTAACATTAGCCAATTGTTCATTAACTAATTAGCTTCAGTTTTTCTGACAGTTATCAGATACCCAGAAAATTATGTAGATTAGCTAACTAGCTAACTCTGTGTTGAAAACAATTGTAAATTAGCTAGCTAGTAACTAGTGTTTTGCTATAGAGATACCCAGCTAATGAATTATATAGATTAGTTAGCTGAGACAGTTAGCCAACTAACTTATACACCGAGATATTATTTTGCTAGCAAGCAAGCTAATGTTAGCCAACCAGATCAGCCCAGAGAGTCTGGGTGAAGCTAGCTGACAGTATTGTGCTGAGTTAGTTAGCAAGCAAGCTAACGTTATCCAGCTAACAGCACAGACAATATGTTCCACTAGCTTAGCATTAATGTTAGCTTTGACTTTGGACTCTGTGTTGTGGACTCTGTGTTGTGGTGGGTGTTGGTCGTTTGTAGTCGTTAGCAGACTCCATTTATAAACTAACGTTATCTAGTGCTGCCCACTGTTGGCACTGTAGGGAAGCGGAGAAACATTGGACTATAACAGGATTCAGAAACTTTCCTTTAAATTCTGCAAAATCAAACTGCTTCTTTATCATTTTCTTTATTTCATTTTTTTTGCAAAGGTACAAACAACTGTAAAATTGCATTGCCTGAAATGCGTCAGGATTGAATACAGAATGTAGGAAATATAAATAGTCGCAAAAATTGTGTCCTTCCAACAGATGATACTTTAATCCGGTTGCTCTGAAGACCCGGACTCTGACTGAATATACAGTACATACACCACAGCTTCAATTAGCAGTTAGAGCTATATACTATACAAACCAAATGCCCGATATGAGGGGAAAAAAAGACATTTAAAGCGTTAAAAACCTTCAATGTACACACCCTTTCCAACAAAAGTCATCTTAAAAACGTTCAACAGCAAACCGTGAAGCGAAACTGCATATTCAACTACTGACAAATTAATATGTTCAACAGTACAAGGTCGACGTTCTCAGACTGTGAATGTTTCATAGTTCAATCAGCCGGGATGAAGAGGAGGATGAAGAGGAGGATGAAGAGGAGGATGAAGAGGAGGATGAAGAGACTGCAGGAATGCTTTCTGTTTGTTAGCCTGAGTGAGTTCACTGTGGGAGAGCCAGCTCCCTGATGATCCTTAACTGAAACTAAAACTGTCAAAAACTGTGAATCTGAGTTTAAACATTCAGGTAAATCCTCCTCTCGTCTGTATGCCAACAGCAGCTGTTAGCTTAGCATAAAGACTGTAAACGGGGGAAACAGCTAGCCTAGCTCTGTGCACCAGTATTGGCTATATCGGATCCAATACTGGTAATTGATCCCTCCTAAGCCAGTTACATATATACAGTCTTTAGTTAGCTAATATTAGCAAAACCCTTGCTAACTAGCTAGCTAATCTACATTAATTGTTGGGTAGCTAGTTAAATCTGATAGCTAATATTAGCAAAACGGAGGCAAGCAAACTTGCAAACTATCTAACTTATGTCACCTGATAGTTAGCTAGTGTTTGGCTAACATTAGCTAACTTAAGATGTGAAGTATGCCCAGTAGCAGAACACAAGCTATCTAATGATTGATAGTTATTTAGCATTTCGTTAACATTAGCTTCAGATGCAACCAGCTACCTTATGATTGATGTAGCTAGCTAGCAAAAAGACTAACTAATCTACATCAATCTTAGCTAGCTAGTGTTTGGCTAACATTAGCTAACTTAAGATGTGACATATATGTCTCTTTTCTTCTCTGTATCTAAGTAAAAGAAAGTCTAAACACTACATTTACTTGTTTTTTAACCGAGTTATGAAGCATCTGATTCTAAACTCTGGATTACAGCTAACAGCTAACAGCTAACAGCTACCAGCTAACAGACACACCACCTCCAAAAAAACACAAAGTGTAGTTTTTACATTTCTTTGTCCAAATGAAACAACATAAGACGGCTGTTCTGTTAGCTTCGGACGGAGCCAGGTTGCTGTTTCCACTCTTTATGCTAAGCTAAGCTAAGCAGCTACTGGCTGTAGCTTCATAATTACTGTGTAGACATGAGAGTGACATCAGTGAACACCGCCTGCTGGGGTCTGTCAGACAGACAGGAGTCAGACAGACAGGAGTCAGACAGACAGACTGAAGTCAGACAGACTGAAGTCAGACAGACAGACTGAAGTCAGACAGACAGACTGGAGTCAGACAGACAGACTGGAGTCAGACAGACTGAAGTCAGACAGACAGACTGAAGTCAGACAGACTGAAGTCAGACAGACTGGAGTCAGACAGACTGGAGTCAGACAGACAGACTGGAGTCAGACAGACTGGAGTCAGACAGACTGGAGTCAGACAGACAGACTGAAGTCAGACAGACTGGAGTTAGACAGACTGAAGTCAGACAGACTGGAGTTAGACAGACTGGAGTCAGACAGACTGGAGTCAGACAGACAGGAGTCAGAGAGGATTCATCTGGATGTCTAATTATTCCATTAACCTTTAAAATCTGTCATCCACACACACACACATTAAAATGATCTACCAATCCCGTTCATTCGCCGTCGAGGCGTCACAGTTCTCGCGGTGCACATTCGTCTGACCACATGATGCTCCATAAAACTCGTTATTCTCTTAAAATCCAGAAGTGATGGTTGAAAGTGAGACTGCAGCGACCGCATGCGTCAGAGCCAGATCACACAACCTTCGAACCCAAACCAACAGAGGAGCCCCTGATCCCGTCGCCCTGATCCCGCCGCCCTGATCCCGCCGCCCTGATCCCGTCGCCCTGATCCCGCCGCTCTGATCCCGTCGCCCTGATCCCGCCGCCCTGATCCCGCCGCCCTGATCCCGCCGCCCTGATCCCGCCGCCCTGATCCCGCCGCTCTGATCCCGCCGCCCTGATCCCGCCGCCCTGAGCCCGCCGCCTGATCCCGCCGCTCTGATCCCAACGCCCTGATCCCGCCGCCCTGATCCCGCCGCTCTGATCCCGTCGCCCTGAGCCCGCCGCCCTGATCCCGCCGCCCGCCGCTCTGATCCCGTCGCCCTGATCCCGCCGCCCTGATCCCGCCGCTCTGATCCCGCCGCCCTGATCCCGCCGCCCTGATCCCGCCGCCCTGATCCCGACGCCCTGATCCCGCCGCCCTGATCCCGCCGCCCTGATCCCGCCGCCCTGATCCCAACGCCCTGATCCCGCCGCTCTGATCCCGCCGCTCTGATCCCGCCGCTCTGATCCCGCTGCTCTGATCCCGCCGCTCTGTGCCCGCCTCTCATATCCCGCCACCCTGAGCCCGCCGCGGCAGAGCGGCAGCTGAACTCCGGAGACACAGGAAGAGAAAGGTGAGACTCTGAAGGAACGTGTTCGGGTTCGGTGCTGGACTCAGGATCCACTTCACCGAGCGCCCAGTTTCAGACCTGCAACATGTTTTATATCAAATCTGTTAAAGCAGAACTTTACACCTCACTGTGTCTCCACGTGTTTTAAATGTAATATAAAGCCTTAAGTGTCTCCAGAATACGCAATACAGTTGCATTGTGGGTAATGTAGGTGCTAGGTTTTGACGAGGAATAAGAATGTGTGGAAGAGAAGATTTATATTTTAGTTTTATATCCATCCTGAGTGTGACAGTGCAGAGGTCAGAATATGGACCTTTCCTAAGCCCCGCCCCTTTTAGAACCTCAGTCAACTTCCTCCTTTCCTATACTCAGAGATGCTATGCTAGGCTAATCTATGTTCAAAAGTTAAAATGGTTAAAAGATAAAAGAGACGAATATATATGTATATATCTTAAGTTAGCTAATGTTAGCAAAACACCAGCTAAAGATTGATGTTGATTAGCTAGTTTGTTTGCATTTTTTTAACATTAGCATTAACATATTACTTCAGTATAGATTAGCCTAGCACATAGCATATCTAAGTACAGGAAAGGAGAAAGTTGACTGACACTTGCTTAACTGTGATTGGAGCACAGAGCAAAACGGGGCGGGGCTTAGGAAGGGTTAATTCCTATGGAACTGCAGCGATCGGTGAATTCAAACAAACAAACCAGAGGAAGCTATCATAGCTGCGTATAAACTGGTTTGGTTGGACTGGATCTAGCCTCTAAGGAGCTAACCAACTGTAAGCAATAACTCTTCAATATGTTTTGAGGGTGAATAAAATGTCTGGAGGTAAACGAAGAGAAACCAGTGAGAAGATTAGAGAGCCATTGTGTTAGTCAGTGGTTAGCTCAGAAGCTACAGTAGATTAGTGTCACTGTTCCTGTGGCGTTCAATCAGTGGAGCTCTGCTTTAACAAACTGAGAAGTAACGCGCCGTCCAGAACTAGACGAGCTAAATATGAGACGTCCTTTTTCAAAAACATGTAGAGAAGAGAGTCCAGAGGACCAACTGAAGAGATGCTGCAGGGACTGAAGAACGGACTCAGGCCAACAGAAACCGGCACGGTGAACCACGAGTGAGGATATGAGTGTCAGAGGTTGAAATGTGATCCAGTTTGCGAGCTACGGTGGGCCGAGCGCTACTCCTGGAGGGACTCCTTATTTCAGCAGCGCCTTGTAGAGCATGAGAGAGCGAGCTGTGGAGCGTTCCTGCTCCAGACAGAAGATGAAGTCCCTGAGGTTAACTCGTGTGATCCGCTGGCGGAGCTGCTGGCGGGAGGAGGTGGCGGAGGAGGAGCCAGCACCCGAGCCTGAAGCCACCTAAGGGGGAGACAGAGGAGTGTTAGATTGGGTGGCAGGGTCCGCCTGGAGGGGCTGGACAGATAAAAACACTAAACCAAACCTCAGCTGCTGATCTGAAACAAATTCAATCAGAAACTATTTTTTTATATCAATCATCAAAAATGTCAAAAGATTCATTTTAATGGTTCCAGCTTCTAATTTTATTGTTTTTCTTTAAATACTAACTGAATATCTTTAAAACTTTTACCTTTTACAGACAAAACAATGAATGTATTAATTACCTACAATGAACCCCCCCACTAACTAACACACACCAATGATTCCTATCACACTGCTCATAAAGCTACAGAAGCATTACATCCTAATCCTGCTCTGTTCTTCTGAATTTACAACTTATTATCTCATAATTCTGAGATCATTTTTCACAATTAATATAATAAATTCTTATGTTTTGTTCTGAATCAATCAGATACCTCCAGCAGGCTCTCTGCCGCCCCATATCCAATCTTATATCAGAGTTATGAGATAATAAGTCAGAAAAACAGCTGATTTTTTATACTTAAACGTTTCAGAATTAAGTAATAAGTCATTAATTAAGAAAAACTGATGATTTGTTGAAATCTCAGAATTAAGAGAAATTAAAAATAATATTTCTTTCCAACTGAATCCATTAAACTTAAACCCATCAGTGAGTTTAACTCAGTAATAATGAACCCCGGGACGGTTTCTGGAGGATTATCTGTCCACCCTGTCAGGACTTCCTCTCATTAACAGCATTAAGTGAGACGTCCCACACTGGTTTAATCGCTCACTGAGTCCAGACCTGCAGGAGGATCACCACACCTTCCTGTCCCAGGTGTGTCTGCAGCCTGGGGGCAGGTAACACCCAGCCCCGCAGCCACTGATGTTGCTCCAACAAGCCCACTTTCTTTCCCAGCACTGATCATTATATTATTATTATCCAACAGCAGCAGCTCTTCCCAGGCTGCTCAACGCCCGGGGCCAAAGTCCCAACAAGCCTCGGATCACTGGGACCAAACCAGTTCACCTGATAAAGAGGATCTGGAGCTGTGAAATAAAGCTGGTTTCCCACGTGACAAACTGCTGTAGAGACAACAGAGCTTCTGTCTTCCACCGAGCCCGAAGGCTGAGAACACAAGACCTGAAAGTCACAACATTGAGTATCTCGGGAAGACCAGAACCAGTTTACAAACCGACTGGAACCAGTTCACACACGGACCGGAACCAGTTTACAGACCGACCGGAACCTGAGCTGATAGTAGCTGACTGTAGCTGACTGTAGGAGGTTGTAGCTGACTGTAGCTGACTGTAGCTGACTGTAGCTGGTTGTGGCTGATAGTAGCTAACTGTAGCTGGTTGTAGCTGACTGTAGGAGGTTGTAGCTGACTGTAGCTGACTGTAGGAGGTTGTAGCTGGTTGTAGCTGACTGTAGGAGGTTGTAGCTGACTGTAGCTGACTGTAGGAGGTTGTAGCTGACTGTAGCTGACTGTAGGAGGTTGTAGCTGACTGTAGCTGACTGTAGGAGGTTGTAGCTGACTGTAGCTGACTGTAGGAGGTTGTAGCTAGTTGTAGCTGACTGTAGGAGGTTGTAGCTGGTTGTAGCTGACTGTAGCTGACTGTAGCTGACTCTAGGAGGTTGTAGCTGACTGTAGCTGACTGTAGCTGACTGTAGCTGACTCTAGGAGGTTGTAGCTGACTGTAGCTGGTTGTGGCTGATAGTAGCTAACTGTAGCTAACTGTAGCTGATAGTAGCTAACTGTAGCTGATAGTAGCTGATAATAGCTAACTGTAGCTGGTTGTAGCTGACTGTAGGAGGTTGTAGCTGACTGTAGGAGGTCGTGCCTGACTGTAGCTGACTTTAGCTGACTGTAGCTGGTTGTGCCTGACTGTAGCTGACTGTAGCTGGTTGTAGCTGACTGTAGGTTGTGCCTTGCTGTAGCTGACTGTAGCTGGTTGTAGCTGACTGTAGCTGGTTGTAGCTGACTTTAGCTGACTGTAGCTGACTTTAGCTGACTGTAGCTGGTTGTAGCTGACTGTAGCTGGTTGTAGCTGACTGTAGCTGACTGTAGGTTCTGCCTTGCTGTAGCTGACTGTAGCTGGTTGTAGCTGACTGTAGCTGGTTGTAGCTGACTGTAGCTAGTTGTAGCTGGTTGTACCTGACTGTAACTGATTGTAGCTGGTTGTAGCTGACTGTAGCTGGTTGTAGCTGACTGTAGCTGGTTGTACCTGACTGTAGCTGGTTGTAGCTGACTGTAGCTAGTTGTAGCTGGTTGTACCTGACTGTAGCTGGTTGTAGCTGACTGTAGCTAGTTGTAGCTGGTTGTACCTGACTGTAGCTAGTTGTAGCTGGTTGTACCTGACTGTAACTGATTGTAGCTGGTTGTAGCTGACCGTAGCTGGTTGTAGCTGACCGTAGCTGATAGTAGCTGACTGTAGCTGGTTGTAGCTGATAGTAGCTGGTTGTAGCTGACTGTAGCTGGTTGTAGCTGACTGTAGCTGATAGTAGCTGGTTGTAGCTGGTTGTAGCTGGTTGTAGCTGATAGTAGCTGAGTGTAGCTGAGTGTAGCTGACTGTAGCTGGTTGTAGCTGACTGTAGCTGGTTGTAGCTGACTGTAGCTGACTGTAGCTGATAGTAGCTGACTGTAGCTGGTTGTAGCTGACTGTAGCTGGTTGTAGCTGACTGTAGCTGGTTGTAGCTGGTTGTGGCTGACTGTAGCTGGTTGTGGCTGACTGTAGCTGGTTGTGGCTGACTGTAGCTGATAGTAGCTGACTGTAGCTGGTTGTAGCTGATAGTAGCTGACTGTAGCTGGTTGTAGCTGACTGTAGCTGGTTGTAGCTGACTGTAGCTGATAGTAGCTGGTTGTAGCTGGTTGTAGCTGATAGTAGCTGAGTGTAGCTGATAGTAGCTGACTGTAGCTGGTTTTTTTTTTTGTAGCTGGTTGTACCTGACTGTAACTGATTGTATGGTTGGGCTGACTGTAGCTGACTGTAGCTGGTTGTAGCTGACTGTAGCTGGTTGTAGCTGACTGTAGCTGACTCTAGGAGGTTGTAGCTGGTTGTACCTGACTGTAACTGATTGTAGCTGACTGTAGCTGACTGTAGCTGGTTGTGGCTGACTGTAGCTGACTGTAGCTGGTTGTGGCTGACTGTAGTTGGTTGTAGCTGACTGTAGCTGATAGTAGCTGACTGTAGCTGGTTGTAGCTGATAGTAGCTGACTGTAGCTGGTTGTAGCTGACTGTAGCTGGTTGTAGCTGGTTGTAGCTGATAGTAGCTGGTTGTAGCTGAGTGTAGCTGACTGTAGCTGGTTGTAGCTGACTGTAGCTGGTTGTAGCTGACTGTAACTGACTCTAGGTGGTTGTAGCTGATAGTAGCTGACTGTAGCTGATTGTAGCTGATAGTAGCTGACTGTAGCTGGTTGTAGCTAGTTGTAGCTGGTTGTAGCTGACTGTAGCTAGTTGATTGTAGCTGGTTGTACCTGACTGTAGCTGGTTGTACCTGACTAACTGATTGTAGCTGGTTGTAGCTGACTGTAGCTAGTTGTAGCTGACTGTAGCTGGTTGTGGCTGACTGTAGCTGACTGTAGCTGGTTGTGGCTGACTGTAGCTGACTGTAGCTGGTTGTAGCTGACTGTAGCTGGTTGTAGCTGACTGTAGCTGGTTGTAGCTGACTGTAGCTAGTTGTAGCTGGTTGTGCCTTGCTGTAGCTGGTTGTGGCTGACTGTAGCTGGTTGTAGCTGGTTGTAGCTGACTGTAGCTGAGTGTAGCTGAGTGTAGCTGGTTGTAGCTGACTGTAGCTGACTGTAGCTGATAGTAGCTGATAGTAGCTGACTGTAGTTGGTTGTAGCTGACTGTAGCTGACTGTAGCTGATAGTAGCTGATAGTAGCTGACTGTAGCTGACTGTAGCTGATAGTAGCTGATAGCAGCTGATAGTAGCTGATAGTAGCTGACTGTAGCTGATAGTAGCTGACTGTAGCTGACTGTAGCTGACTGTAGCTGGTTGTAGCTGACTGTAGCTGACTGTAGCTGACTGTAGCTGGTTGTAGCTGATAGTAGCTGACTGTAGCTGGTTGTAGCTGATAGTAGCTGACTGTAGCTGGTTGTAGCTGATAGTAGCTGACTGTAGCTGGTTGTAGCTGATAGTAGCTGACTGTAGCTGATAGTAGCTGATAGTAGCTGACTGTAGCTGGTTGTAGCTGGTTGTAGGAGGTCTGATACTGTGGAACAGCTCAGTTAGTCGGAGGTGCTGCTACTGCAGGAGGATAGCCTCCAGGCGGAGCTGACAGCAGAGGACAGGAATGAAACTCCAGGGGCCTCATGTACTAACGTTGTACGCACAAAATCTGGCATACGCCATTTTTCACGTTCACCTTCGGATGTACTAAAAGTAAAATGAACGTGAGAATGTGTGGTCCTCCACGGCAGCTTCATTGCTGGCGTACGTACATATTTTTTGCTTATGTCAGTTGTCAGTTGGCGACACTCACAGGCGATGCTTTGAAATTGCATAGTCGAAATTAATAATTTCTCTAGGGACAGTTGCACTGCATGCGAAAGTCATTATTATTTACAATCAATCAAGCAATTACACAATTTTAAATAATTTGCAGATTATTTGTGTTAAGGGGTTATTTACTGCAGCGCGCAGTCCTCCACTGTGTATGGAGGAAGTAGAACACACTCGAATTATCTTTAGCCTCTTGGCATATTTATTTAACGTACCGTAACCCTTTCACAATACAGCAGTACAGCATCAGTCTACCGTAATACAGGGACGCTCAATTTCAGTGTTTCTGGTGTTCAACAACAGAGTAAGAGCTCCTCTCTAGAACTGATCTCAGTTTCACATCCTCCAGTTCAATAACCAATAATCAATAATCATTTCAGCTTCTGAATCAGAACCGTCAGTATGTGGATCAAATAAACTCTGCTGTCATTATCATACAGACTGCCGTCCCTCAGTGTCTGCTGTTGACCTCAGCAGGTGAAGCTTTTAAAAGGTGGATCAGTTGTTTGTCGGGAGAACAACACAGCCGCTGCGTTGCTAACGTTGCCAGTGTTGCTAGCGTGTATTCATAACAGGCTGCAGCCCCGGGCTCTGGAGCAGGGTGGGGGAGGACTATCTGGAGCCTGATCGGGCCTGCAGTCGGGAGCTGAAGGGCGTACTGCGGCGGCCCGAGGGCAGAGCACACCCTCCCAGAACACAATGTAAAGCAAGCAGAGACAGACTGAGCTCAACGTCACTTCCTTCTATTTCCATTCTGAAGGCTGTTTTATTCTGAAGGTTTCAAATCGAGCTTCAGTTCAGATGAAACTTGTTTGTGCTGCCCCCAGGTGGCCAAAACCAGCCACTGCAGCTCTTTTAATATACTCGTTATTGAATCATTACACTGCTGTTATATACTCGACTATACGTATTATACATGTGTCATTTTCTATTTATTATTTTATCTATATTATTGTCTATATCAATATTAGTATTTATTTAAGTATTATTAGTGTAAGTCCTGGTCCAGGTCCAGGTGCTGGAATGAGCTGCTTTATAAGAAACTTACAACTGCAGATACATTACTAACTACAGGCCAGCACATAGCTCACATTTCCCAGAGCCCCCCCCCCCGAAATGTTGGATTTCTCCGCAGGGTTCCCGCACCCCTCAATCACTCTGCTGCCTTTGTGTGGGACTGCTGGGGGCAAGCCTCAGGCGGGATGTGTGTGGGGGGAAAGAGAGAGCGCATGTGGGGGAGAGGGTGGGGAGAACACGAGGCAGGCAACCCCCTAGGCCATGACCCCCTCCCCACCCTCAACACCTCCAGCCCCTAGCTCATTTCTGCAGAGCCGAAATCTATGGCTGCCCTGAGGGGGGGGGGGCAGAGGGAGAGGGGGAGTCACACCCACAACAAACCTCCAGGCAGACTCTGACCCCTTTCACTCAACTGTGGTCACAGTCACTGCCCGGATTGTAGAGAGAGAGTGCTGATGGGAAAGGTCATCAGAGTCTGAACAACGTCAGACAACCTGATCATAATTTAATAATCAATACTCCCATTAATAAAGCATCAATCAAACTAATAGTTCAATAATCAATACTCCCATTATTAAAGCATTAATCAACCTGATCAGCCTTCAGCAGTTAGCTAGTGTTTCTGTAGTGGAGACTAAACGTTAACAATGATCCATATCAGCAGTTTGAATCCAACTAAAAGCTCCCTGCACCAAACTCCCTTTAAGAAATATCACATTTTAACAATTCCTAACGTGTTCGTAACAACACGTAACTCTAGAAACACGAGCTAAAGGCCGTCATATGTCCACAGTCTGACTGTCAATACAGGATCAATATCATCCATAAAGATACAGTGTATACTGATCAATATCATCCATAAAGATACAGTGTATACTGATCAATATGATCAATAAAGTGTATCCTCATCAATGAACATGTCTCTCAGAGCTGGTTGGTGGATCAGATACTGACTCAAAACGCTGTTCATTAACTGTTAAGTGTATTGATTATTGATGCTGGCTGATCAGGATCATTATCAGCTGTGTGTTCTGATGTTATTAATGACCAGAGGTGGGTAGTAACGAGTTACATTTACTCCGTCACATTTACTTGAGTAAGTTTTTGGAGTAGTAGTTTTAAATCACTATACTTTTTACTTTTACTTGAGTAGATTTGTTAAGAAGAAACTGTACTCTTACTGCGCTACATTAGGCTACAATGAGCTCGTTACTTTGGTATTCTACAGGTCATTGTTTTTATCCCCCCGCGTACGCCTCATTTTAATGTTTTATTTTGACAGAGAGAGAGACTTCTGCTCTACCACGTGACTGTGTTTCACCAATCAAACGTAGTTGTGCAGTCTCGTCACGTGACCATACTCAATCTCAGCGGTGGGACGGGTTAGCTTTACAGTCGTAGCAAACAAAAATGTCAGAATCAACCGTTGGCAATGCAGACACAGACGAGGAGGAACACCCCTGGCCTCATATCGAAAGCATGTTTACCTTAGTGAGAGTGTGAAACAGCAGCTACATTATGCGGTGTCTTGTCAGACAGACAGACAGACAGACAGACACACACAGTTTATGAGAGTTTATGGGCTGCCTTGTTCTAGTTCTGCCTGCAGAGCCTGGTAAAAAAGTATAAAGGTTTGGAAATTTGTGTTACTTGTGCTTATTTATTTTTTATTTATTATTATTTTATTGATTTTATTTTTTAACTACTTGAATTTACCTGCTTTAATTTAAGCTATTTTGTAATTAATTAATTTTAATTTATTTTATTGATTGGATGAATTATAATTTGCCTAAAGATGATTATTTTATATTTTTGTCTATCTGATTGAATACTTAAATAAATCGGACGTTACTCAACAGTTACTCAGTACTTGATTAGTTTTTTCACCAAGTACTTTTTTACTCTTACTCAAGTAATTATTTGGATGACTACTTTTTACTTTTACTTGAGTCATATTATTCTGAAGTAACAGTACTTTTACTTGAGTGGCTACTCTACCCACCTCTGTTAATGAGTTAATGGCTGAGTTTATGGTAACAACCATAGTTTATGACCTGTTTCTATCTCCTACCTCTGTGCCGGCCGAGGAGCCTCCTGGCGAGTCGAGCCTGCGTTTTTTGCGTGGCCCGATGGCGGCGAGGGCCGTGAGGTTGGCGTCTCGTTGTCGCATCTGAGCCAACTCCTGCTGCTGCATCTGTGGAGGAGGACAGAGGGGTCAGATAAACGTGTGGTGCCATATGAGACATCCTCAGTTATAATCAATAAATATTGATTCAAGTTCATATTAAAAGAATCTCATTATTATTATTTGTCTTGAGGGATAATCAGGCTCCAAGTTTTAGAACTACAGTTCTTACAATGCATTGGGCTCTTCTGCGTTTGTTTACTGTGTTTGTTTACTGCGTTTGTTTACTGCGTTCCACAACCACTGAGCAGATTCCATTTGAGATAGGACTGAAAGCTCTGGAACACGTTATTAAAGGGACCTGAGGTCAGACTGTCAACAGCTGATTGACTGTTAATGAGTTTCTGACTTAATGGTTGGATGATGTGTGTATTCACTTATATGACGACACACACACACACACACACACACACACACACACACACACACACACACACACACACACACACACACACACACACACACACACACACACACACACACACACACACACACACACACACACACACACACACACACTCTTTACCTCTTTAGCTTTCTGCTTCAGGCGAGCCTGTTCAGGATCTTCTTGTCTGGCCCGACTCTGGAAACAGACAGATCAGATTTGATCTTTGACCTTTAAAGACTCTCAGAGCTCAAAGTTTCATTTTCAACCACAACATGATAGATAGCAGTTTAATATAAACAATATGTACAGAAACACACTATTGTGTGGATTATTTAACAAACATTACTGCTGCCGTACTTTAAGTCCTTCGTTCTATATAGTAAATGTAATAACTGATAATGTAGATTCATTAACAACTGCAGGCTGCTGATGCTGCAGATCAGCTGTTCCAACTGTTCAATGGTATTTAAACTAAATGAAAGTTTAGTTCAAACTCCAAAAGAGAAGGAGGAAGAGAAAGAAGGAGGAGGAGGAGTACTACTAGATTACTTCTACTACAGTAAAAAAATCATAGTCAATATTTGACAGATATTGTGATTGAGGGTCAGTGTGAGCATTATATTTAATTTTATTTATTATAACTGCATTATAATGTTTGTGTTTGTTTATGAAAATGTTTGTGTTTGTCCGATTTTAACTTTATCTGAATAAAGTGCAGCCTCTGTGAGCGGAAATAACATTGAAATAAAGCTGTGATAAAGCTAAAATAAAATTAAAATAAAGCTGAGATAAAGTTAAAATAAAGTTGAAATACAGTTGAAATACAGTTAAAATACATTTGAAATACAGTTGAAATAAAGTCGAAATAAAGTTAAAATAAAGCTGAGATAAAGTTAAAATAAAGTTGAAATAAAGTCGAAATAAAGTTAAAATAAAGCTGAGATAAAGTTAAAATAAAGTTGAAATCAAGTTGAGATAAAGTTAAAATCAAGTTGAGATAAAGTTAAAATCAAGTTGAGATAAAGTTAAAATAAAGTTGAGATAAAGCTGCGATAAAGTTAAAATAAAGTTGAAATAAAGCTGAAATAAAGTTAAAAGAATGTTAAAAGAAAGTTAAAAGAAAGCTGAGATATAAGATATAGATATAAACTATAGATAGAAACTATAAACATAAACTATAGCTATAAACTATAGATATCAGCTATAGATATCAGCTATAGATAGAAGCTATAGATATCAGCTATAGATAGAAGCTATAGATATAAGCTATAGATAGAAGCTATAGATATAAACTATAGATATCAGCTATAGACATAAACTATAGATATCAGCTATAGATATAAACTATAGATAGGAGCTATAGACATAAACTATAGATAGGAGCTATAGACATAAACTATAGATAGGAGCTATAGACATAAACTATAGATAGAAGCTATAGATATAAACTATAGATATCAGCTATAGACATCAGCATAGATATCAGCTATAGACAACTATAAATATCAGCTATAGATAGAAGCTATAGATATCAGCTATAGATAGAAGCTATAGATACATAGATAGAAGCTATACATATAAACTATAGATAGAAGCTATAGATATAAACTATAGATAGAAGCTATAGACATAAACTAAGATAGAAGCTATAGATATAAACTATAGATAGCAGCTATAGACATAAACTATAGATAGAAGCTATAGACATAAACTATAGATAGACTATAGATATAAACTAAGATAGAAGCTATAGATATAAACTATAGATATCAGCTATAGATATAAACTATAGATAGGAGCTATAGACATAAACTATAGATAGAAGCTATAGACATAAACTATAGATAGAAGCTATAGATATAAACTATAGATAGAAGCTATAGATATAAACTATAGATAGAAGCTATAGATATAAACTATAGATAGGAGCTATAGATATAAACTATAGATAGAAGCTATAGACATAAACTATAGATAGAAGCTATAGATATAAACTATAGATAGCGTTCATACCTTGGCAGCCTTTAGCAGGATCTCTCTCTCCTGCTCGTCCTTCCTCTGTTTCTCCATTCGCTCCAACTGCTCGAAGAAACGCAGCTGAGAGCGAACGTCTGACGTCGGTTCATGGTGCTCTTCATCCTGATGGAGGATGAGGAGGTGAAGGACAGAAGAGGAGGAAGAGGAGAGAGGAGGAGGAAGAGGAGAAGAGAGGAGGAAGAGGAGAAGAGAGGAGGAAGAGGAGAATAGAGGAGAAGAAGGAGAAGAGAGGAGGAGAAGGAGAAGAGAAGAGAGGAGAAGAGAGGAAGAGAGGAGGAGAGAGGAGAAGAGAGGAGAAGGAGGAGGAGGAAAAGGAGAAGGAGGAGGAAGAGGAGTGTAAATGTGTTGATATATAAACAGAACTATTGATCAGATTACAGTGTATTCACTCTGAGGGCCGCCCACAATAATTCTGAATTATTCTTAATATCTGAGCACAGAGATTAAAGGAACTGTTCTACAGTTTAAAGCTGTAGTCAGTAACTTTAATAAAAAGTAAAAACCTTTTCATAAACTGATCAAGACATTTATCCTGATCACTTTGTGTGTGTGTGTGTGTGTGTGTGTGTGTGTGTGTGTGTGTGTGTTTCTTGCCTTCCCGCTGTCCGTGCGGTGCTGAGCGACGACTGAAACCTTCTCCAGCAGCGAGCGCAGTCTGGACTGGGTGGCGTGAGAGATGAAGTTCACCACCTCCAGTGGCACCTCGGTCACTCCCAGCTTCTTAGCTGAGGACGAAACCACAGAGTGAACGTCTCCCTGCAGTCACTGCAGTCAGTCTCAGTCCACGTCACAGTCCCCCTCACAGTCTACAGGGCTCCAGAGTGCGACCAATTTGGACATTAGTGGTACGACTTTTCTAAACGTTTGACCAAACAGTTTGCCGATAAATCTCCAAAAACCGGTCCATAAAAATGAATGGGTGTGTGTTGGTAGAATGTTCACAGCTAGAGTGTGTGACTTTATCACTAGAGTGGAGAGAGAGAGAAACATTTGTCGAAAAATTAATTTGTAAACTGCTCTCAAGGCCACAAATGTCACTCTACAGAAATAATTTACAGATAGAAACGTAGGTAAATCCGTTGGGGTCGCAGTGATACCGCTGCTGAAGCTGTCAGACAAATAGTTTTGGCGGGAAACGCACTGATGCGCCAGCAACACCCTCTCACTGCCCCATCTACTCCCATGTTAATTGGAAATTAGAAATTCTGAAAGGAGCTCGTTGAACCTCTTCTTCCTCAATCTCCTGAGGTCACATTTTTTAACTTTAGCCTCTGAAACTCGGCAGTCCTATAGTCAACAAAATGACGATGCTCAAGGTCTTTTCGGTTTTCATTTCGGTTGTTTTTTGGTCATTCCTGGCCAATGGTTCGAGGGGGCCTGCAGCTGCTGTGGCCTCCCCTGGTTGCCACGACAACCAAAGCCTGCCTCTCACATCCACGCACACACATAGCTAGCTACAGAGGAGTGTTTAAGGTATTAATATTGGGACAGAGACAGGCACACTCAAAGTTTCTTTACCAATTTTCTAGTTAAAATAACATTATACATAAAAATTTAAAAACATTAAAGCTATTCACCTACGGCCTAAAAAGATTTTTATTTTACATTTAGTCTCCTTCAGGTAAATGCTGTTTATTAATGTCAGACTAGCTACTCAACATTACAAAACGATAAGCTGCCACATCTGGAAGGTCAACAGACAACAGGCGTAGGATAGCCTACTTACATTGTTTTGTGTTTAATACGACTTTCCGAGTTGGAGATCCGACTTCACAGTCTGAAAAAATTCTGACTTGGAGCTCGGAAATTCCGACATTCGTGCACAACTGGAACGCACCATTAGTTGCAGCACACAAACGCCGGGCTCTCAATGCACTGCAATGTAAATTAGTTTACCTAACGGAACATTAATCCTCCGTTTTACCGGAGATGTTTGTCGCCTTATGTAGGGACAGTGGGGGGGTCACTATGAATCTGGGGGGGGTCATATCCCCCCCGTCCCTAGTGCCATCTGCGTGCATGACCTGACGCTGCCCGGGTGAAAACATACATTCATTTCGCAAGCACATCATCTCTCTGTGTTCTCCTGTGAGCGAACTCACACTCATGGTAGGATCATATCGGGTTCTATAAACCAATAAGAGACAGAGCTCGGGCGGGTCTTTGCCTCTGATTGGCTGTGGTCCTGTTCATCGCGCTAAGTTGTGTGTGTGTTAAAAATTGCGCGCGACCTGAGCGCGAGAATAGCTGACTAACTGAAACGGAAAAATAAAATAAACACGACAAAACGAGGGAAAATGAAGAGAGGCAGAAATATTGAAAGTTTTTCCATTAAGAAAACCAAGCCTACAACCAGCCCTACTACTATAATCCCATCCATCCCCACTACTGAGAGTCCAATTGTCTCGTGAACTCGGAGCCCGAGTGTCTCTGACGCCAGAACGTGACGTAATTACCCGGCTTGTACCACTTATAGCGTTCTAGTTGTCTTTGGGCGTTACGAGTCAGAGAGAACATGGACGCCCCCAGTGCAGCAGCTGTGTTGTTATTGATTGTGGCTCTAAACAAGCTCAATGTGAAATAATAATGTGTTTCTACACAAACACAAACATTTCAAGTAATTCCGTTATTGCAAGTCTTACAGTTCAATAATATTTTGCCATTTTCACCTATTTCAATTTCAACAAGTGCTGTGGCGTTTCTCTCGAGCCTCCAGGGGCCACCAGGAGCTTCCAGGAGCTTCCAGGGGCCACCAGGAGCTTCCAGGAGCTTCCAGGGGCCTCCAGGAGCTTCCAGGGGCCACCAGGGGCCACCAGGAGCCTCCAGGGGCAGGCTAGTGTTATTGTTAGCTACATTAGCCTATTTAGCAAACCAGCTAGAAAACAAAACTTTACATTGTATTGAACTCACAGCAACACTGGTGACCGGACTAAAGCAGCAATGTAAACAGTGTGTAGGAGCATTTAAAATCGACATTAAAACGACCAACGTAGCACAAATACAAAGAAAATACATCTCAATACGGGCGCTGCCATCTTTGTTTTGCGAGTCGTACGTTCACCCTCCAAAAACCTACTTGGCAATAAACAGAATTCTGATTCTGATTCTGATTCTTCAGCTCGGTGTACTCTGACGAACCCTGAGTTTAAGTTCTACTGACGAATAACTCAACTGAGTTTGTATTCACTGCATATGCCTCTCTGCTTATTACAAAACAAAATGTTTATATTTATGTTTGTATAAGATGGAGTTTGTATGAATTACCCAACTTTTCCAGTTAATTCTCCTAAATTCCCATTAATTCACATAATTTGAAAGCTTCCAAATTGGAATGTTTCCAAAATTCCCCAGCTTATCTTTCCATGGAAACTTTCCGGAAATTAATCGGAAAATGTCCCTTTGCAACCCTATATAGGATCCAGTCTGCTCCAACCAAAGAGTAAACTGCACCGAAATATGATGGACAAAGTGGGAAGAAGATCTTTAGTCTCTTGTAAAAACCTACCAAAAATAGGTACTGTGTACCGAATTCTAGGTACCAGTACCGGTTCAAATGTGACCGATACCCAACCCTACTCGTACATGTCTGTGAGTCTGTTCTGCAACAGGTACCTGTGTCCAGGATGCGGCGGTGCAGCAGGCCGCTGGGCAGGAAGGACTCGTCTTTACAGGAGCGAATCTTAGTGCCGACGAGCTCCGAGCTGGTCGCTAAGATACGAGCGTTTTCCTCATTAAGGTTGACGCCGGCCATGGACGCCACGTCGTTGATATCGTCGTCATCTCTGAGGCAGAAAGAGGCCAAGCAGAGAGGTTAGGAGGCAGTTCGGTGAAACACAGAGGAAAGCCTCCCAGTAGCCAGTTTGACTGGAAAGTTTCAACCTTTAGTCTGGTTCAGTCAGTGAAGATCATCTACCTTTTTCTAAATACATATCTGTAGTTCAACATCTAGTCTCACAAACACCAAACAAGTTGCCCATTTTGTATTTGGACAAGTTGTATTCTTCTTTCCGTTCCGTTGGGTTCGAGCCCCAACCTGGTTTTACAGCCTCACCTCCAATGCACAGTACGGCGAGGCTCACTGAAAATTATTATTGGTACAATTATATGAATCAAATAGACAGCGCTGACCTCTGCCCTGTATCTACAGCGCTGACCTTATGAGTTATGGCCCATTAAGTGCATCACAAAAACTTTAGCATAACTTTTAGAGTAATAATCTATAATAATTAAGAACCAAACAATGCAGCTTTCAGGTTTGAGAATAGTTTTATAGTCTTAGATAATGTGGGTTTGGATCTCTTATGTGTTCTTTTACCTTTTATTTTATCTTTACTTACAGCTGTTGCACTTTGTAATGGTAGTTTTGAAAAGGTAATATACAAATAAAGTTATTATTATTATTGTCTCTGGTCTGTCAGACATCAACACTGTAGTGATATTAATATTTGTCCAGAACTCAGAGACTCTACAGACACATTCTGCCCTCTATTGGCTCATCTGTGAACTACAGCACTGACTGATTGTACCTTTAATATCTTAAATATTCTGCTAAAATAGAGTTTGAAATTCATAATTATCACAAAATGTCTCAAATAAGTGTTTATATTCCTTTTGTGTGTTTTTAAATGTAATTTCAGTTCATTTCTTCTCTCTTTGTGTTTGAAAGGTGCTGAACAAACTCCAACCAATGAGCTCATACTTCACCTGAATGTCCCGCCCCCTGGGTCACTCAGTTTCTTCTGATTGGCTTGAGATGCCAGGTGAACCGGACTTTTGCCGATTATAGTTGTGGGACCCCGTATTAGCGTACCTAAGGAGACAAACACTGGGTATCAGCCGTTTGTGACAGTGACGGACTCTCACCGCCATTGATTGGTCCACGGTCTCACCTTGAGGTCTGAGAGTTTGGCTGAAGACGATGGGGGTCCGGGTCTGTACGGTCTGGACTCCGGCTCTTCCCACAGCCTGCAGGTACAATAATAACAGTTAGTGTGCAGGTCTGGATTCCCAGTTTAAACCTGGTCTGGGTCTAACATCAGTACCAGAGTGTTGGTGAGCGGCGGGTTCAATCTGACGGTGCTGCTGGCCGGGCTGATGGGCAGCCGTGGTCTGATGGCGGTGGTGGTGACGGAGCCGGGGGCGGCTGGCGGGGGCACGGAGGTGCTGGGGGTCACCAGAGACTGCTGGCTGCTGAGCAGAGACTGACGCAGCGCGGGGAGGCTTTTCTGTGGGGCAAACAACGATTACACCGCTGATGGGTAGCGTGAGTTCAAGTACTCTTTTATCTTTTACTGCAGCGAAACTATTCAGTTTTATTTGTAAAGCGTCAATTCATATCAGGACACTTCAAACAGAGCAGGTCAGACCGTACTCACTGTACAAATACTCTGTTCACTAAGTCACATTCACTCCAATGTGTTTTTTTCAAATGTCGTCAAGTCTTGAGAAATGTTTTGACCCTCAGGGCCACCGTACCTTAAGAATGATACATATCACATGGGATTATAATTATTGATGCTTTAATATGTTCATCTCTTTATTGTTGCATCTGGTAACTGTGGAGCTCATTTTAATTACAATATATAGTGCCGGTAGTTTAATCTATAATAACACATCACATTAGCAGCATTAGCAGTAGCAGCATTAGCAGTAGCAGCATTAGCAGTAGCAGCATTAGCAGTAGCAGCATTAGCAGTAGCAGCAGTACCTTGAGGAAGGGGATGAGGTAGGGCTGTGGGGAGGACTTGAGCTCAGCCTGCAGACGAGTGGTGAACTCCTCAGGCTCAATCTTTGCATCCTGAACAAACACACGGAACTCGTCAGACGGCAGTAAAAATACATCAAACACGAGTAATACCTGAAGTACTGGAGAGCGGATGTGAGCAGGCAGCTTACGAGCAGGTCCTGGACCAGGGCCTTCACATTCTTGGAGGTATCTGGGGAGGGCGAGTTGTGGGACGCCAGCTTGATGAGTGTGGCGAGGAAGTTCTTGCATTTCTTCACGTTTTCTTGCATTTCCTGTTGGGGAGGGAGGCGTTAGTGAGCTCGCCGTACAGAAACACCCGACGGGAAACAGAACGCAACTGACCTGGGACACCACGGTGACTCTTCCGGCGGGCGTGGTGGGGGTAGCGGGCGTCGTGCTGGTCATGGGGGTGGACGGGACCCCAGCAGGCTTGGCCAAAGGCGTCCCCCCAGCCGTTATCACCGTCTGGGCCTTCTGAGGGGTCGTCATCTTCACCGACACTGCGGCACCGCCCGGGGCCACCGTGATGGCCTTCTGAGAAACGACAAACACCATCAGGAAATTTGCTTGTTAACTAACGTACGGGGGCGGCTGTGGCTCAGAGGCACAGCGGGTCGTTCCTTAATCGGAAGGTTGTGGGTCCGATCCCCGGCTCCTGGTGCCACATTGAGCAAGATACTGAACCTGTGCCGTACATCGGTGTGTGAATGTTAGTTTCTGCTCGATGGACTTTACCATCACTGAGTGAATGTGTGTGTGAAAGGGTGAATGTGTGCGTGAAAGAGTGAATGTGTGCGTGAAAGGGTGAATGTGTGCGTGAAAGAGTGAATGTGTGCGTGAAAGGGTGAATGTGTGCGTGAAAGAGTGAATGTGTGTGTGAAAGAGTGAATGTGTGTGCGAAAGAGTGAATGTGTGTGCGAAAGGGTGAATGTGTGTGAAAGGGTGAATGTGTGTGTGAAAGAGTGAATGTGTATGTGAAAGAGTGAATGTGTGTGCGAAAGAGTGAATGTGTGTGCGAAAGGGTGAATGTGTGTGAAAGGGTGAATGTGTGTGTGAAAGGGTGAATGTGTGTGAAAGAGTGAATGTGTGTGTGAAAGAGTGAATGTGTGTGTGAAAGGGTGAATGTGTGTGAAAGAGTGAATGTGTGTGAAAGGGTGAATGTGTGTGAAAGAGTGAATGTGTGTGTGAAAGGGTGAATGTGTGTGAAAGAGTGAATGTGTGTGTGAAAGGGTGAATGTGTGTGAAAGAGTGAATGTGTGTGTGAAAGAGTGAATGTGTGTGTGTGAAAGGGTGAATGTGTGTGAAAGAGTGAATGTGTGTGCGAAAGGGTGAATGTGTGTGCGAAAGGGTGAATGTGTGTGCGAAAGAGTGAATGTGTGTGTGTGAAAGAGTGAATGTGTGTGTGAAAGGGTGAATGTGTGTGTGAAAGGGTGAATGTGTGTGTGTGAAAGAGTGAATGTGTGTGTGAAAGGGTGAATGTGTGTGTGTGAAAGAGTGAATGTGTGTGTGAAAGAGTGAATGTGTGTGCGAAAGGGTGAATGTGTGTGTGTAAAGAGTGAATGTGTGTGTGAAAGAGTGAATGTGTGTGCAAAGGGTGAATGTGTGTGCGAAAGAGTGAATGTGTGTGCGAAAGGGTGAATGTGTGTGAAAGGGTGAATGTGTGCGAAAGGGTGAATGTGTGTGTGTGAAAGAGTGAATGTGTGTGTGTGAAAGAGTGAATGTGTGTGCGAAAGGGTGAATGTGTGTGCGAAAGAGTGAATGTGTGTGCGAAAGGGTGAATGTGTGTGTGAAAGGGTGAATGTGTGTGTGAAAGAGTGAATGTGTGTGTGAAAGGGTGAATGTGTGTGAAAGGGTGAATGTGTGTGAAAGAGTGAATGTGTGTGTGAAAGGGTGAATGTGTGTGTGAAAGAGTGAATGTGTGTGTGTGAAAGAGTGAATGTGTGTGTGTGAAAGGGTGAATGTGTGTGTGAAAGGGTGAATGTGTGTGTGAAAGGGTGAATGTGTGTGTGTGAAAGAGTGAATGTGTGTGAAAGAGTGAATGTGTGTGAAAGAGTGAATGTGTGTGTGAAAGAGTGAATGTGTGTGTGAAAGGGTGAATGTGTGTGAAAGAGTGAATGTGTGTGAAAGAGTGAATGTGTGTGTGAAAGAGTGAATGTGTGTTAAAGAGTGAATGTGTGTGAAAGGGTGAATGTGTGTGAAAGAGTGAATGTGTGTGTGAAAGGGTGAATGTGTGTGTGAAAGAGTGAATGTGTGTGAAAGAGTGAATGTGTGTGAAAGAGTGAATGTGTGTGTGAAAGGGTGAATGTGTGTGAAAGAGCGAATGTGTGTGAAAGAGCGAATGTGTGTGAAAGGGTGAATGTGTGTGTGAAAGGGTGAATGTGTGTGAAAGAGTGAATGTGTGTGAAAGAGTGAATGTGTGTGTGAAAGGGTGAATGTGTGTGAAAGAGTGAATGTGTGTGAAAGAGTGAATGTGTGTGAAAGGGTGAATGTGTGTGAAAGAGTGAATGTGTGTGAAAGAGTGAATGTGTGTGAAAGAGTGAATGTGTGTGAAAGGGTGAATGTGTGTGTACCATTAGCTAACTAATAACTCATTCTCTTAGATTAGCTTAGCATCGATTGCTGTACGTTAGCTAGGAAACAGCGTCTTACTAACATTAGCTTTCTGAGGTCGATAGCTGGCTAACGTTAGCAGCTAACGTTAGCGTGTTAAAGTGCGTGTGACACACACCTGTACAGTGGTGGTGGAGGGAGACTGAACCATTCTGGTCTGAGCGGGGGTGGCCAGCCGGACGGTCTGAGGAGCCTGCAGATGAACAACAAAGCATCATGGGAAACAGACCAAACGTAAACACTGAAACATCCGATCAGCTGATTGTAAATCATTCACATCACTTTAACCAACTCTCAATCGATCAATCGGCTGATTATTTCCTGACAAACGCCACCCTGCCTAAGCCCCGCCCCCTTTGCTCTGTCCTCCAATCACAGTTGAGTATGCTAAGCTAAGCTAATCTACGTTGGAAAGACGACCACATCTTAATCTAGCTAATGTTAGCATAACGCTAGCTACCTAATACTCTTAGATTAGCTTCCAGATGTTACTAATGATTGATTATTGATTTCATATTTAGAAATATTGGATATGTATAGGCCACATTGCAATAACTCAGATGATTGATTATTGATGACTATGTGAGATCAGTTATAGAGAAGAGGATCAGCTTCCTGTTTCTGAATCATCAATAATCTGATGATAATTATCGTCTATTGATCACCTCTAACTGTCAGGCTCACACGCAGCGAGGTCTGCGGCCCGCGGGGTGAACCGGACCTACCGTGGTGGCGGTGCTGACCCGGATGGTGGCGCCGGCCGTCGGCGTCGCCGGTCTCTGAGCGATGCTCGCCACCGTCTGGTTCTGCTGCGTCTTGGCCTGAGCCTGAGCCAGAACCTGCTGAGGGACCATCACCAGCTGACCCGTCTCCGTCCGGACCAGAACCATACCTGAGCACACGAGACCATTGATCAGAATACACTGTATCTTTATTGATTATTGATCAGTATACACTGTATCTTTATGGATTATTGATCAGTATACACTGTATCTTTATGGATTATTGATCAGTATACACTGTATCTTTATGGATGATATTGATCAGTATACACTGTATCTTTATTGATTATTGATCAGAATACACTGTATCTTTATGGATGATATTGATCAGTATACACTGTATCTTTATTGATTATTGATCAGAATACACTGTATCTTTATGGATGATATTGATCAGAATACACTGTATCTTTATGGATTATTGATCAGTATACACTGTATCTTTATGGATGATATTGATCAGTATACACTGTATCTTTATGGATGATATTGATCAGTATACACTGTATCTTTATAGATGATATTGATCAGTATACACTGTATCTTTATGGATGATATTGATCAGTATACACTGTATCTTTATGGATGATATTGATCCTGTATTGACAGTCAGACTGTGGACATATGACGGCCTTTAGCTCGTGTTTCTAGAGTTACGTGTTGTTACGAACACGTTAGGAATTGTTAAAATGTGATATTTCTTAAAGGGAGTTTGGTGCAGGGAGCTTTTAGTTGGATTCAAACTGCTGATATGGATCATTGTTAACGTTTAGTCTCCACTACAGAAACACTAGCTAACTGATAAAGGCTGATCAGGTTGATTGATGCTTTAATAATGGGAGTATTGATTATTGAACTATTAGTTTGAACTCTATTATTAGTTGTATTGAGTTTTAATGTTTATTATTATTATTATTATATTTGAGCTTTACAGAAATGAACCCGTTGCAGCAGACACAATATTTTCCCTCCAGGTGTTCAGAGTCTTTGAGGACAACAGGAAGTAAAATGTTTAGTGATCAGAAGGTAGAGCGGGTTCATCAGGTACTGGATGCATGTGAGCTCATCTGATAACTGATCATTAGCTGTAGCACCGTATTGATTATACACACTGAGGCTGAGAGGGTTTAATAATCCATAACTCTGCTCTAACCTGACCTCACTACTGTTTACAACAACAACAACAACAACAACAGTTCTGACTCTAACCTGACATCACTACTGTTTACAACAACAACAACAACAACAGTTCTGACTCTAACCTGACATCACTACTGTTTACAACAACAACAACAACAACAGTTCTGACTCTAACCTGACATCACTACTGTTTACAACAACAACAACAGTTCTGACTCTAACCTGACATCACTACTGTTTACAACAACAACAACAACAACAACAACAGTTCTGACTCTAACCTGGGCTCCCGCTCTTTTTACCAGACAGCTAACAGTAGTTAATGTACTCGTGCGTGTGTCGGGCTGGTTACGGGTCAGAGGTCACGTTCTCCCCACAGATGCTCAGTGTTCCTATCAGACCTGAGCTGGTTTTACTGAATAACAGAGTTTACTAATCAATATATCAGGATATAGGAAACCAGAACGCCACCATGTTTACAATCTGATTTCAATAAAGTTTACTGGAACAGTTCAAACACGATTCACTGATTCACTCCTGATGATCTTTGTAATCAATATCCAGACTCACAGACTGTTTACTGTTTACTGTACCGCAATACTAAAGTAAACAATAAGCATTCACTGTAGTAAACAATAAACATTCACTGTAGTAAACAGTAAACAATAAACATTCACTGTAGTAAACAATAAACATTCACTGTAGTAAACAGTAAACAATAAACATTCACTGTAGTAAACAATAAACATTCACTGTAGTAAACAGTAAACAATAAACATTCACTGTAGTAAACAGTAAACAGTAAACAATAAACAGTAACTACAGTGAGTATTTTTACCTCCTGCGCTCCCAAACAAACATCAGTCCACTGCTGTTTGTTTGTTTGTTTGTTTGTTTGTTGTTGTTGTTGTGTAATAGTAAAGCCTCAGGAATCAGATAAACTGCAGCATATAAACTTATGAAGCTGTGAAGTGATCAGTTATGGATTATGGATTAAAGGCTGGAACAGATCAATACGGAGCCTGTGTGGTGGATCTGGCTCACCTGAGGGCATGCTGAACCCGGGGGGCAGCTGGATGGTGGTCTGCTGCTGGGGCCGGACCGCCAGCTGAGGCTGAGGAGCGGCTGCTCTGACGGGGCCCGCCACCAGCGCCGGTCTCTGCTGCTGGATGGAGGGGGCCACCACGGGGGCCCCCGGGGGCCTCACCACGGCCACCGTGGGCTGGCCCACCCCGTTCACCGCTGGCTTCAACCCGGGCCCACCGGTCCCGGTCTGAGTCTGGATGATGGGGGACTGGACCACCACCGGAGGAGGAGTGCTGGTCAGGGTCCCGGAGAGCATCTTCAGGGGGGTGCTGTGGTTCAGGACCTGAGAGCTGGAGGCGGACGGGGCCCCCAGCTTCGGGTCTACGCCGTTCTGGGCCAGCACCGGGCTGGGAGCCCCTGAGGACTGAGGGAAACCGGGCTGGGAGCTCATGGAGCTGCCGGTGCTGATCACAGTGCTGGTCCCGGGTGGAGGGGGGACCAGCTTCACGGCTCCAGAGGTCCCGTTCAAACTTTGAATGCTGGTGCTCGGACCCAGGACCGGAGCCCGGTGCAGGACGGCGGCAGACCCGGGCTGAGTTGCGGGTGCCGGCAGGGGAGGACCGGGGGCAGTCTGCAGCCCGGTTCCGGCGGTGGTTCCGGTCCCGGCGGACACAGACGAGGTAGACGAGGTGAGCGGCTCAGGAGCGCCCGGGTCCTGGTTTAACCCCGCTTTTGGATGCCCTTGTTGCGGCGGCTCCAGAGACCCCGCTGGATCCCGTACTTTCCCTGAGAAGGGTCCGGCGGCGGCGGGTCCCGGTCCGGCGGGTCCCGGGGCGGCGGGAGGCTTCCTGTCGCCCAGCTGAGACTCCAGAGAGCCGACCATGTCGCTGACCGCCTTCTCGTCCACCTCAGTGCAGAGCATGTCCTCCAGCGGGTCGGAGGCTCCCGCCATCTTTGATGTTCGACCGTTGTGCAAATCGTATTGTAGAATGTACGCATGCGCGGAGGATCCGGCCGCTTTTCGAGCGTAGAAGTAGAACCAACAGATCTGTGACGACATCGAGGCGGCAGGTAGAAGGACCGGAAACGGAAACGGAGCTGCAGTTACAATAATAATACTAACAATGTGACTACTACTACTACTAATAATAATAATAATAATAATAATAATGTGACTACTTCTACT